TATCATATAGGTAGAGTAGGTCAGTGCAGAGCTTATTTTTCTCAACTTCTTTATGGGCAAACTTTCACAGTTTTGTAGCAATTTTCCAATAGGGCCCGAGAATCCAGTAGGTCCTGTAGTTGGACCGTCTATTGTCTCAATTACATGACGCAATGGCAATTCGTTAGTGTGCAATTGACAAATGTCCCACTGCAGAGGCCGCCCAAGTTCCTTTTCCATACGGCGGATAATGCCGTTGTGTATTCCTGTATTTGTTGGAGCACCGTCACATCCCACGAGTTTTAGCGTCAACAAATCACCATAGGTCTTTTCTTGAAGATAAGTCCAGATAGACTTAAACTCTTCTTTAGCCCCATGACATTCTGATACAACATGACCAAAATATTCATCACCGGGTTGTTTTACGAGGGATAAATGGTTTTCTTTAACAACTCTTTGGTGTTGCCGGCCATCACTCGGCCGTCAAAAAATAAAGCTTCAATGGTTGTATCTCGACATTCTTTCTCTGTGACTTGACGCTGTGTTTTCGTCCTTTCACGTCTTACTTTGCTCTTGTCAATAACAAGTGGGCCTTTCGATGTAGATGGCATTGTTTTGCCAGAGGAGACCTCTGGCCGTGAAAGATCCCGGAGAAGAGATGATGCAAGAGATACTGCAGCTCTGTCTCCAATTCCAAATTTGTCACACTTGCTGGCAAAAGAGGTCAATCTAGGCAGTTTTACTCTAGATCTATCAGCAGATAAAGCGGGTACACTAAATTCAGCGTCTTTTATATCACTGTCACTTGTTTTATCGTCACTAGCACACACTGAACCACTGGCTAACACATCTTCAATTGGTCTCTTGTTAACTCTGTTATCCTCGATGGCTTTCCTCTCTTCTCGTTTACGCAGCTTAGCGGTAGTTTTCTTATCCACCGGACCTATGATCATTTTCCGATTTGTACGCTGATCTTGCAAAAACTCCCTTTCCGCTGCTGGCACTTTGTTTTGCAAAGAGCATTTACAGATGGAGTGGTGGCACTTGCAGGCAGCTACATCAAACAACACTCTAAACTGTGCATGAAAAACAGAAACTTTTTTTAAAGCATCACTCTCACTGTCTCTTTTAAATGACTTGTTTAGCTGTTGATAGGTAGAAACGTCATTTTTTAACAGTTGCTCCATTCTTGTAACGCTCACCACAGGAATGGAAGCTGATGACCAGACGTCAGTTACGCGTTTCAGCACTAAAGAAGCAGCTTCTCTAAAAGATGGGTTGCTAAGTAATACTTTAAAGCATCCTCTCGAGTTGGCAGCATGCGCCCATCGAAATCTGTAGGATGCCCTAAAATGTTCAATGTAAGATTTCTTCGACATACACTCATGTCGATGTGGATAAATGCAGATAAACAGCTTTACTACGATTCACTTGTGAACTATTTGAGATACACAAACTAAGCAACTGTAGAACAACAGGTCTACATACACACTTTTTTACGTTGACACGCAGAAGTTAGTATTGGGCCCTAACGATTCACAAAAGTAAATCTAAGGTGGCGAAGAGATGCAAATTTCAAATTATAATTTTCGAGAAATAAATTTAAAGAACACGCAATCTTTCGACATTAACTTTCAACAAGGTGAAGTGAGTAAACAGCGGATTTCGTGGAAAAACGGTCCGATTCGATTACTTTTTCCGACTTTTTGACAGAGTACTCTAGAATAGGTATTGGTTCGACGGCAATTCATACGTATTTTAGTGTCTGAGAATAACACTTTTGACTAGTAAAAGTTGGAAATATGTAAGTAGAGAAAAAATTGCTAGAATTTGAAATTTTTCGTAAATATACCAAAATTTTTTTATTTTTGTCGTCAATGCGCAGACGGAAAACATCGTCGCACAGCAATCGGATTTTGCACACGTATTGTGGGCATGTGTACACAGCTTTTAAGCCCTATTAGCGTTTCAAAGTAGAAAAAAAATTTTTAATGACCCGGCCCCACCCTCCCGCCATACTTCCTTGGAAGAAAATGGCAGAGGTAATCCCGGTCGAATTTTGAAGGTGATCCTTTTGGCCTCTTCCATTGGTACATGGCCATTTCTTTAATCCAAATTATGTTCCGGGATGATGCTAGTTTTTCCAAGAGCTTGGATAGGCATGAGAGAAGACTTATCGGTCTGTAATACCAAGGAAGAGTTTTTTTTTTTCCTGGCTTCGGATTGTTGTTTGCGCCCTGCAAGTATTTCGCCGTTTCTGACTACTGGGAAGGAAATTGTGTTGGGAAATACCATTAGATTCTAAAGAAAATTCTAGAAGAAAGGAGGTTAGAGGACATAATGTGTTTTGTTGTTTGGTAAGTATTTGAATCAGGTGATTTTGATTCTTCTTTAGGTCCGTTGTCGTGATTGTTATCATACCCGGATACCAAAGAGTGTTAGCGAATGACACTCTGGGTGTTGTGGTTCATTATACTGGCGTGGTTGGGGCCCTTAATGGAGGGTACTGAAGAATATTGGCAGATGAGACCGTTAAGGTACTGTTAGAAATATTTTTTTATTCAAGGTCTTGTACACCAGGTATCCTCTATAGTTGGCAACATGGTTTACCACCCCAATTACCGCATTTCCTCACTGTTACATCGTCCCTTTTTGGCTTTGCAGGATGCTGTGGCAAGTTGGTCTCCACATGCAACGCACACTGAGCGCAAGGTGCAATAGGATTTCGTGTGCCGAACCGGAGTTTTTCTCTTGTGGCGTTCTTCAACGAGATTTTTTCGATATAGGAGGGGTATTGCAGATTACAAAAAGGAGGTAGAACTGAGCTTTTTTTGGATTTTCGTTGGGGACCTTAGTTTATTTTTTGCGCAGGGGCCGGCGGAATTTTTTCGTTGGGTTAGGTTTTGGCCCCTTTTTTCCCGCAAAAGCTTCTTGTTTCCATGCACCATCGCCGCTGTAGCAATGGGTTCTATTTTTTCTTTTATTACGACTTGCAGCCTTTTGCTGCTTTTAATCTGGTACGTATACAAGTTTTTTTTTGTCTTGTACCGCTTTGGTTACTATTCGGTAGTTCTCCTCATTTAGAATATGGATTTTTTTCTATTAGGTTGCCCTCGTGAAACATATGCTTGGCCAATTTAGAAACGATTTAATTTTTTTTTGGGTTGCGGGCTAAGCTTACGCTAACATTTACATACCTAACCATTCCAGTTTGTGGCATAGGGCGTTTGATCCATTTTTCAGTTTGTAATAACGGTACCAATATGCTTAAGCCGACATTTTGAGGTGGTCTACAATGTGACACCGACGCTCTTGCCAAACTCGTTTTTGTAGTTGGTTGTGAGGGCGCAACTCACCGATATAGCAGTGCTGGTTGATGATGACTCAGCTGACGTGTTTATGCTTACTTGCATTGTTTGGGGACTGAGGAGTGCCAAGGGATTTTCTGGGTAAGTTGAAGGGTTCGGGGAACCGAATTTGGTGCACTCACGGCCGCTTATATTTTATTGTATATTGGCACATCCAATTGATATTTCCACGTTGACGTCGTAGTCGATTTTAATATATTGTTTGCGCACTTGGCGCTTTTATTTAAATCAAAGTCACTTATTGTAGGTCGAGAGCGGGAGCCAATAAAGCTTTCGTCCGTTCGCTCTTGCGAATTCGCCTCGCTCTCGCCACCTTAGCATAAGTTGGGTTCTAAGAGAATCATTGCAACATTAAAATTTAGTGATCTCTTGAACTTCATCAGAAACCACTCCCTTTCGTCGTCGCAAATAAATTATCCGAATCATACTGAAGACACACAAGTTTCGCGCTCGTTAATACAAACTAGTATTAAATTTTCTTGGTGAACCCGATGTGATCGCAGTAGAGTTCACGATTTTTTTTCGGTGAAAAAATAGAAGCAATAACCAACAAACATCATACAAAGTGAATAGTTTGTGTCGGTTCGGCTAAAAAAGAAAAATTAACAAGCTTAATTCCGAAAGAAATGTTTCGTTGGAACTTTTCTGCCGTACCCCTTTGGTTGTTGCCTAAGACGTTTCTTCCCCGCCGCTGCAACTTTAAATGTTTAAATTGTTGCTGCCCTGGAACATGGATGTAAAAAAGAAATTTGCAATTGTCGAGTCGGCCGACCAGGTATAGAGTGATAAAAGTTGTGAGGAGTCTAAAAACTCCCCATAAATCCCGATGCAGCAGAGCTTGCCTATCAACAGCGGCGAGAATGCCGGGGAGGAGTCAAAGGCAACAGGGATCAAACGGTGAAACAACGGACCTTGGACCTGGGCAAAGCGGGAGACACCGTCAATAATCTGGACATTGGAGCCTCACACCGCAAGGCCAACAAGGCCAACGGTAAATTGGCGGACTTCGGACCTGCACAAAGAGGACACACCGTGAACTAACGGTGCGGCAGTGGACCTTGGACCCGATCGCGAGCTGGAGAAGAGGAATAACGGGAACATCACAGGCTATAAAAGGGCGCAAGCGCCAGTACCAGGATCAAGATCGGAAAACCGAGACTTGACGACTGTAAGTCCACCAAGGCTGAGACTTCAACGCTGAGATCCAACGGGTGCTAGGGTCGTAGTTAGAGAAATCGAGCTCAGAGGGAATCCTTGCAGAGTCTGCGATAAACGTGGCTGGTCCTGGATTTATAATCTCAGGAGGACTTCGCCTATGTGAGCATTTTTCTGGGAATAGAACTCGAGGGGCTCAGTAGAGGCAACGAGGAAAACCCTGGCAGAGACCATTGACCGTATAGCAGAAATTCCGGAAGCTGCCGGCCCCAAAAATTTAAATTAACCTCCGCAGAATGCCGATGGTCTGATATCAAGCGTAGGGCCACATCCGCAGGACTATGCCACTGTTTCCAAGCAAGTCCGAGTGGAACTTTCGGTATGACGGCAACGATAAGCTACTGGAGTTCCTGGAGCAGGTGGAGTGGTCAGCAGTGACATATGGTTGGATATAAACCAGATGCCACGAGCAATGCCGAGGCTGCTGCAGGGCGGAGCCCTAAAGTGGTTCATAGCCAACAACCGGTAGTGGGACAACTGAAGAGACTTCATATTCAGCTTGCAATGCTATTTCCTCCTCGAGTACATGGAGAAGCTAGCGGACCAGGTCAGGCAGCGGAGGCAGACATACGGGGGAAAATTTAAGAATTACATGGTGGACATGCAGACGCTGATGCGGCCCCTGGGTATGTCTGCCAAAGAAGTCCTGAACAGGATCAAGGAGAACAGCACGCCGGCCCTCCGAATGTTTGTCCGGCCGTAGAGTGTCGGCACCTGGACACCCTGATAGCGCTGGCAGATGAGTTTTCGGATTGCTGAACAAAATAACGGAAGAAACTGGGTCGGTTAGCGAACTCAATGTAGGGCGAGAAGACGAGGTGGTTGATACCCCCGAAATACATTCCCTTTCAATAGAACAACGAACAAGGGTTAGAAGCAGTAATACGGCAACTCCTTCTTACGAGTCGGAGGGATTACGGCGGACGCAGATACTAGAGCGTTCCATCGATGTTGGCGGGGCGAAGCCGGTAAAGCAGCATCACTGGCCGATCTCACCTGCAAAGGGAAAATTATGTTTGCAGAAATAGAAAACATGTTAGCATTAGACGTGATAGAGGAATCCCGAAGTCCTTGGTGCAGCAACTGTGTACTAGTTAAACGAGGAAAAAGGTTCGGTTATGTTTAGATTCGAGAGAAGTGAATAAGCTGACTGAAGCACGCGTTCGGCAGATCCCGCTCGAGGAAAAGTCAAGGCAGTGCACAGGGTTTACGATACCCAATAGGCCTTTGTATCAGTACGAAGTAATGCCCTTGGGCTTTGTAAGCCGCGCAAACACTCTGCAGGTTAATGGACTTAGTAATACCAGCCAGTCTGCGCACTCGGGGTGTTTGTATACTTAGATGATTTGTTAATTTTGTCTGATGATTTGAGTCACACATGAAATTGCTAGAAGAGGTCGCTGGAGATATTTGCGAAAGGCTGAATTTAACGATTAACATAAATAAAATCAAATTTTTGTATGACCGAGATCAAGTACTTAGGGTTACATCATAGGGCACGGACAGCTTAAAGTCGATCCAAGTAAAGTTAGTGCCATTAACGAGTTTTCAATTCCGACCACAGTCAAGCAGCTCCGGTAGATTCCATGGGCTTGCCGGCTGGTACAGGCATTTGTAGATAATTACGCTTCTATCACCGTTCCTTTGACTGAGTTACTTAAGGAAAACAAAGAGTTTAGCTGGAATCGCGAGGCAGAAGAGGCGCTTTAGTTTACTTAAGTCGAAGTTAACGTCATCACAACCCGGTGTTGAGAACCCCAGATTTCAAGAAGAAAGTTTGTTTTGCTTTGTGATACAAGTCTTTATGGTCTTGGGGTGTGTATTGACTAAGAATATGAAGACACGGAGTTGAATTTCCAGTTGCATATATGTCAGAAAAATTGTCAAAAGGCACAGCGAGAAATTACTCCGTTACTGAACTTGAGTTGCTAGCCGCGTTTTTTTTTTTTTTTTTTTTACTATATAGAAGGGCAAGAGTTTTGCTTTAGTGACGGATCATGCTTCCTTGCAGTGGCTTTTATGAAGCAGAAAGAACCTGTCGAGGACGCCTAAGAAGGTGGATCAATTCAATGCGAGATTTTCGTTAACGATTAATCACCGAAGTGGGTCACAGAACGTAGTGGCTGACGCATTGTCAAGATGCGAAGAAGGCTAAAGAAGTCACTGACTCGGGACCAGTAATTGATTTGTTATCTAAGGAATTCGATTCGGAGTGACCAGGTTCGAGCTAGTCAACCGCATAAAGGAAAAATCTCAGGCTAGGTTACCCGACCTAAAAAGTGGTGAAGATAAGTTTGTGTACAAGCGAACTGGAGAACCATCTAAGGGGGATGCACTCCAAGACGCAGAATCCTGGAAAACTCTGGGTTCAAACATTATTAAGAGAATTTGTTAT